CCCCTTCTCTGAAAAGAAGGAGGAAGGATGGGAGAGGGGACATGAGGGTGGTACTGGGAGGATAAGAGAAGGGACTGTGATCAAGCTGTAAAGTGATTAGATAGATAGATAGATAGATAGATAGATAGATAGATAGATAGATAGATAGATGGATGGATGGATAGATAGATAGATGAAAAAAAGCAAAACAAAGCAAAAAGCACACCAAAATCAAGGAGTCTAATTTGTGTTGGCTAACTATTTCCCCAAGAATGTTTTTTTTCATAAATTTATTTTTTATATTAATCACAGATTATTTACTTTGTATCCCAGCCATAGCCTCCTCCCTCATTCCCTCCCAATCCTACCCCCACCCCTTATCGCCTCCCTGCCCCTTTCCAAGTCCACTGCTAGGGGAGGTCCTCCTCCCCTTCCATCTGACCCTAGCTTATCAGGTATCTTCAGGACTGGCTGCAATGTCCTCCCTAAGGGCCCGGCAAGGATGCTCTTCCCTTGGGGGGAGGGGAGCAGGGGCAGGTCAAAGAGCCAGGCATTGAGTTCATGTCAGAAATAGTTCCTGTTCCCCTTACTAGGGAAGCCCACTTGGATACTGAGCTACCATGGGCTACATCTGAGCAGGGGTTCTAGATTATATCCATAAATGTTCCTTGGTTGGAGAAACAGTCTCATAAAAGATCCCTGTGCCCAGATATATTTGGTCCTTGTGGAGCTCCTGTCCTCTCCAGGTAATACTAACTAACTCACCTTTCTTTCATATGATTCCATGCACTCTGTCAAAAGTTTGGTTATGAGTCTTAATATCTGCTTTGATACACTGCTAGGTAGAGCCTTTCAGAGGCCCTCTGCGGTACGCTCCTGTCCTGTTACATGTTTTCTCCTACTTGCAAAGTCCATCACATTTGTCTTTCTAAGTGAGGATTGATCATCTTACCCTGGGTACTCTTTCTTGTTTATCTTCTTTAGGTGTACAGATTTTAGTATGTTTATCCTATCTTATAGGTCTAGTACCCACTTACAAGTGAGTATATACCGTGTGTGTCTTTATGATTCTGGACTACCTCACTCAGGATGGTCTTTTCTAGGTCCACCATTTGCCTGAAATTTTATGATTTCCTTGCTTTTAACTGACTAGTATTCCATGTGTAAAAGTTCCACAGTTTCTGTATCCATTCCTCAACTGAGGAACATCTGGGTTGTTTCCAGATGGCTATTACGAATAAAGCTGCTACCAACATGGTTGAACAAATGTCCTTCTTGTGTACTTGGAGCATCTTTTGGATATATGCCTAGGAGTGGTATAGCTGGATCTTGAGGAAGCACTATTCCTAATTGTCTGAGAAAACGTCAGATTGATTTCCAAAGTTTTTGTACAAGTTTACATTCCTAGCAGCAATGGAGGAGGGTTTCCCTTTCTCCACAACCCCTCCAGCATGTGTTGTCATTTGAGTTTTTAATCTTAGCCTTTCTGGTGGGTGTAAGGTGAAATCTCAGAGTCGTTTTGATTTGCATCTCTCTGATGGCAATGAACTTCTTCAGCTGATAAATATCTTCAGCAAAGTGGCTGGATACAAAATTAACTCAATAATATCAGAAACCCTCCTGTATACCAAAGACAAAAAGGCCAAGAAAGAAATCAGGGAAACAACACCCTTCACAGTAGCCACTAATAACATAATGTACCTTGGTGTGACTCTAACCAAGCAAGTGAAAACCTGTTTGAAAAAAATCTCAAGTCTCTGAAGAAAGAAATTGAAGAAGATATCAGAAGATGGAAAGAACCCCCATGCTCATGGATAAGTAGGATTAACATAGTGAAAATGGCCATCCTGCCAAAAGCAATCTACAGATTCAATTCAATTACCATCAAAATACCAACACAATTCTTTACAGATCTTGAAAGAAAAATTCTCAACTTCATATGGAGAAACAAAAACTCCAGAATTTCCAAAATGATCCTGTATAGCAACCGATCATCTGGAGGTATATCTATCCCTAATCTCAAGCTGTACTACAGAGCAATAGTAATAAAAAACTGCATGGTATTGGCATAGAAGCAGAACCAAATAGAAGACCCAGAAATAAACCCACACACCTATGAATACTTGATGTTTGACAAAGAAGCCAAAACCATTCAATGGAAAACAGACAGCATCTTCAACAAATGGTGCCGGTCTAACTGGATGTCTATATACAGAAAAAAATGAAAACAGATCCATATTTATCACCTTGCACAAAACTAAAGTCCAAGTGGATCAAAGACCTCAACATAAAACCAGATACACTAAATTGGTTAGAAGAAAAAGTGGTGAGGAGCCTAGAACTCATTAGCACAGGAAACAACTTGCTAAACAGAATACCAACAGCACAGGCTCTAAGAGCAACAATCAATAAATGGGACCTCATGAAACGGAGAAGCTTCTACAAATCAAAGGACACTGTCATCAGAACAAAACAACTACCTACAGATTGGGAATGGATCTTCACCAACCCTATATCTGACAGAGGGCTGATATCCAGAATATATAAAGAACTAAAGAAGTTAAAAAGCAATAAATCAAGCAAGCCAATTAAAAATGGGGCATGGAGCTAAACAGAGAATTATCTGTAGAAGAATATAAATGGCAGAGAAACACTTAAAGAGATCCCCAAGAATGTTTTAAACTGCTATTAATACAACTTTATCACTGCTAATTTGAAATATTTTTAAGGTAATTATTAAACATGTATCCTGGGCACTGATGTCTATCAGCTGTATTTTATTATCCAACCTTCTACCTTCCTGGTACCCTAACATTTAGAGCACTATATTGACTTACTTATTCTCATTCTTGCTCTGTAATTTCTTTTGAGAAAGGGTTTCAGAGTATGCCTGGGTTGACTTCATTCTGAGCTCTTTCCTCATCCTTCTAAGTTCTATGATTAATGGTGCTGAGCTACAGAGATGGGATAAAATTTGTGCGTGCATGTACATGTTGGAGATGCGACCTGAGGTTTTGCACATGTCAAGTGAACACTCAGTGAGTGTTACATTCCCATCCCCTATGAGGGGACACAACCTTCTTTACACTTTCATTTTTACTTGACACCACTGAGGTAAGGGAAAGAGGGGATACTGCCTTTGTACTGTGGGAGAAAACCAGAAGTTTTTCCCCTAGACATTCACAGGTACTCCTGGGACAGAGCTCCTTGTTCTCACTAGGAGAGGATGGAGAATCTGGCTCCAACTATGGTTCTACTGGAAAGGCCATGACCACAGTACAGCGTGTAGGATTGCATCCTTGTTGTCCGCTTTGGTTTCACTTTGGCTTCACCACAGGTATAAGAAAAAGGTCCATAACCAAAGGTAGAGATAGCTGTCTTGACTCCTCAGCAGACTTTTCTGGTGTCATCAGAGAGACGAAGGATATCTCACTACTCTCCGGGGAGAATTCCCTGGTGACAAAGTGCATCCTTTTTCCCAGAGAAATGTTAATGTAGCTTTGTCAGGACTCATTTAAAATCTTCCTTCTCACATATCTGTCATTTTAGCATTGGTGTCTGATGAGCATGGAGTTCCAGGAATCCTGATTGGACCTTTGCATGCCTGGGTATGGGAATAGAATTTTTGATGCACCATGTTTGGCTAGAGCAAAAGAGGTACTGTCTGTAAGTTTTCTGTCTTATTGAGCTGCTTCTTTGGCCGGAAAGAGCAGGTTTTTCTGTATGTACCTGGCACTTGTGGGTTGCTGGCCTCAGGCTCTGAGTGGGAGTCACAGATCAACCAGCCAGAGCTGGTTTTGTTCCTTGGGTTTTGAGGTTCCTTCTCAGCTTTCCTTCTGTGTATCTTTCAGAGTTTGCTTATATTAGTTTTATGCTTAAGGGGTCTAGGTATATTCAGTGGAAGCTTGAGGGTAAAATAAGTCTGTTCCATTTTATTCAACTGCCACCTCCAGTTGTATTTTGGTATGTCATAATTACATACTCAACTTTGCATCGTTCATGAAACAATGTTAAATTATGCACATAGTATTAGAAACACAAGCTGTTTCAACTCTACCTTTTTGCTACTGAATTTAAGGGATATCAAATTTTACTTTCTAATTGCCATCATAATAAAAAAATAATAAAAAATCATATTAATGTGGAATTACTTGAAATCCACAGTGTAGTGTTTATGTGATTTTTTTTTTTTTCATCTTTGAGTTGAGTTAGACCTCAAACCTGAATAACTGGCTTCTCAGAGGAATGTTAATGCTATATTGTCCCAAGACTATTAGGCCTACATTAAGCAATATTTTAAAAACAAACATATAACTAAAATGAGAGCAGGACATGGCAGCACTAGCTTATCAGCTAACATTCAAAGTCATAAGGATTGTGAGTTCAAAACCAGTCTCAGAAAAAAAGAAAAAATATGATGGAATAATACAAAATTTATATTGTCTATGTGGGTATGCTTAGGAATCTCTTTATGAAGGCATAGGAAACACTTTCTTAGGATTTTAGTATAAGAAGCTAAATAACAAGTTGTTGTTGTTATTATTATTATTATTATTATTATTATTTGTAACATGAAAGTCAGAAAGCCAATGGCTTCTTTGTGTGTTATGAGGTTAGGAGATGAATGCTGTCACACCTTCAAGCACCCTCATCAGACTGTGGGTTCGCCTCATCTTCTGTTTCATTCATTTCTCATGGAGATCTCATTTTACATAGCTTTTCACATTGTAATTGTTTCTCATCTGACAGTGGATAGTATCATCTGTTACTTGGTCTCGTTTATTTTAGGCCAGATATGTGGGCTACTATACAAGAAAAGGTATCCACAAGTTCTGTTTAGTAGGATAGGAAGTAAAGTCCAGATTTTTTTTCAGACTTAAAACCGAGGAATAATGGGTGCCACCATCTTGATCAAACGCTACCTCTTTCTTTGGAGGTTTCTACAGCATGTGTATCGGTCATATGATTTACCTTGTATTGGGGAACTACTTTTTTTTTTAAAGGAAAAACATGAGCCTTACCTGAAGTACTGAAGCACCACTATGAAGAAACTGAAGTCCACTTTCAGCTGAGTCAATCCCACCTGTGGCCAAAATAGGAAACCCAGGCAAAGCACGGGCAATGGCAGTCACAGCTCTCAAAGCAATAGGTCTAATGGCAGTTCCTGCAGAAGATAAGGAAGATTTGTAGTTAGAATATCTGACAGAGGTACATGTTACTTTATATTTATCATTAAGCAAAAACAGTATTTTCTGGACAAAATTTCAACTTCTTTACCTATTTTCGAAGTGTTTTAAATTTTCAGTGAATGTGGATTTAAGAACTTTGATGCTATTTTTAAATCTAGACAAGTCACAAAATAGATATGAAAAACTTAGAACTCTTACATAAAATACATACAAATTATGGTTTGATGTATGGGTAAGTAAAATTGGATGGAACGTCTAAACATCTGTTTTAAATACAGCTGGAGAACAAAGCTTTGTAGAAAAACGATCACATAGAGTATGTAAATAGTCATATAACTCTGTTATCATTCTACAACTACAGGAAGCTGGTGTGAATGCAGAGGCTATGAAAGCAAGGCAATGGAGAACAGGGTGATTCTATATTGCTTTGTATATGTATTTTACAATTTGAAGGTACACAGTAAGCCAGGTATAATCTCACCTGCTACAAAATTCAAACAAAATTAAAGAGAACTAACTTGATTCCTGTAATTAGAATACACATCTCTATATCTGTATCCATAGATACACACACACACTAGTCAAGCATTACCCGTATATTAGTTCCTAACCTAACAAACATAAAAAACTGCATAATGTACAGAATACATTGTAGTGATTGTAAACATGAATATATTGTACGTAAGCTTCTTCAGAGCTTCAGCTACATCCCAGAGTGAATTAGTAGCTTCATACCTGAGGAAGATAATCTGTTATACCTTGTGATCACTCAATTTAACGATGCAAAGCATTTTCTGAATTAAAGGTAGTTCTAATTATGAAAGAATTTGACTTTGTCTGAAATCAGAGTCCACTAAACAACACAGAGATGCAGCTGCCTGATCAATATAAACTTAAGAGTGTTTGGTGTGGGGTGTGTGTGGAGGGTATTTTAGGAAGCACATAGAATGTTCCTTGCAACTAGCAGCTTTTCATCTGAGCAAGCTACATCCTATACAATGATGACAACAACAACTGCCTGGAAAAGCCAAAACCATGGAGACTGTAAAAATATCAGCGGTTGGGAAAGGGGAGGGTAGGCAGGGGTAGTGGAGAAAGCAGAGCCAGAAGAATTTTAGGAGAGTGACACTAATGAGAGATATTATAATGGCAGCTGCGTGTTGTTACATACTAAGCCAAGCTCATAGAACAGAAAGCACTGAGGGTGAGCCCTGGCGTAATAACCTTGGGTTACAATGACAGTAATGTAGGATTCCCAGTTTCAGCAGTTAGAAAACTCAGAGGAAGGATGCTGACATGTGTGTGGGCTGCTGGTACATGAGGAATCTTTGTTCCTTCCTTTCAGTTTTGCTGTGAACTGAAAACTGCTCTTTGTGATAAGAGCTCTTACAAAGAAGTGGTTTTCTACTTGTGATGTTCATATCAATTTCATATTAAGCTAAATGTATGCATAATGAATGCTTCCTTGTTACCACTAAATGGGTCTATGGGAGTGCCTGTTTGTTTCTCTGTTAACCTAAAAACAGCTTAGAAGTTATTCTATCCTGATACTTCAGAACTCCACAACAGGTTATTTCGAACACAGCATATTGAGTTAGACAAAACAGAAATTGACATCAGGATTTTATTTCTATGCCAAAATGTTTATCAGTGATTCCTTTTTGTCTTTATATTTTAACCAAAGTAGAATAATATATCAGGTAAACTATTGCACAAAATATTATATTCCATGGATATAATAAAAATAAATCTAACTACAAATATAACTCAAAGGAAATCTACATCATAAATATTCAAATAGACAAAGCTAACTGCATAACATAACAGACCGTTCAATACATACTAAGCCAATGGTTTCTTGATATACATGTTACTTTGAACTAATAAAGAAATATTGGTATTCTTCTTCTCCCCTTATTTAGTTTACTCTAGAGACTAAAAAAAAATTTGAACTAAGCAGATAAATAATTTATTTCTCACTTCACGGTTAGAAGACTATCATTAACACTAAGGGGTAAAATTTCAAAGTGGTATACAGGGATTTGTCCGCATATTCCAATTGATATTAATGGACATCAAATGGCAAAATCCCAGGACACAGCTTTGAAAATTTAACCAGTTACATTTAAAGGGCAACATTCTTACACGGGTGTTAAAAACACCAGCAAATTCTCATTGGCATTTGAAGATGTTCAATTAGGTCAATACGACATTTTCTATTTCATGTTTTTCTTCCGTTCCTAAAACTTTTCTAATGTGCATAATGAACATGAAAACCTTTCAAACTAATAAAGGAATCTTTTCCTTTTTAAAAAAAAAATTAAGAGGAATTATGTTCTCCGTGTAAATGTCTTCCTGTTGTTGAGCAAGAATGAAGTCAGCTTTTATTTATGTTTTTATAAACTCCATTTGATTAAAAATAACTGATCCAATATACATATAATCTATCTGTTCTCAGCATTTTTATGGAATATAGGATTTATAAATGACTTTTATCCACCAGGAAAGTTATCAGGAAGATCGTGAGAGGCATAGAAAAATGACTGTGCTAATAGTAAGGCAAAAATTTCCTTACAGTTTCAAGATGAGAAAGGTGAAGAGATGAGAGATTCAAGATAAAAATTAAAATTCAGTGTACACATTGTTCATGTATCCATATAAAACATAATTGCAAGTATCAAAGTGCCAATTAAAGTGAACAGAAACTTCCAGAATCACAATTGCTAACATAGTGATTTTTAAAACATTGCCACTGTTATGATTACTGTCTATAGAACAAAAAGTAGGGAGGAAGAAGTTACAGCTTGAAAGATGTGGAGACAGACTCCATCCTTGACAGAAACAACTGGGTTTAAGTAAAAAAAAAGTGAAATCCTTTCTACTTAGATCAACTAGCAGGTGACATAAAATTTAAATTAAGGTCTCTACAGAGAGAACAGGACAGAGGAACCTGATGGGAAATCTAGTTATATCAAGCCAATTCCGATTCAACTGTGTGGAATTCTCCAATAAAGCTTAAGTCAGGTCTCTGAATCTTGAAACAAACTGAAAGCTCAAAAAATGAAGGATAGAGGGAAGAAAGGAAAGAGTGAGAGAGGGAAGGGAAAGAAGAAAAGAGGGAAGATAAAAAGAAAGGACTGAGGGGCTGGAGAGATGGCTCAAAGGTTAAGAGTACTTGCTGTTCTTTCAAAGGTCCTGAATTCAATTCCCAGCAACCACATGGTGGCTCACAACCATTTATACTGAGATCTGGTGCCCTCTTTCTGGCTTACAGGCATACATGTAGGCAGAATAGTATATACTGTTTAAATAATAAATAAATAAATAAATAAATCTTTTATTTATTTATTTATTTATTTTTTCTAACAGGATCTCAAGGGCAGGCTGTTTGACACCCCCCCCCCCCAGGGGAGGAGCAGTCTGTTAGGCCACAGAGGAGGACTTTGCAGCCAGCCCTGAAGATACCTGATAAAACAGGGTCAGATGAAAGGGGAGGAGGTCCTCCCCTATCAGGGGACTTGGAAAGGGGCAGGGAGGAGACCAGGGAGGGAGTGTGGGGTTGGGGAGGGAATGAGGGAGCGGGATACAGCTGGGACACAGAGTTAACAAAATGTAACTAAAAAGAAAAATTAAAAAAAAAAAAAAAGGACTGAAAGAAAGTTTAGATTTGCAGCATTTGAACAAGTTTTCTGGTTTGCACAAAGGAGGCCTCCTGGAGTCGCTGATTCCCTAGATTGAACTGTGATTCCTATATAATAAATATATTAAGGCCTTCATGGAGTCATAAGCTTAAATGCAAGCAGTGCGTTGAAGTTACAGATCTTTGATAAATATTACAGAGCATTTCCAGAATGGCTGTGTTTTAGAAAAACACTTCCATAATTGTGAGATTTTGTGTTATATTAATAAATGTGATTTCTTTTGAAAAAATCATTTTTTTCTGGTATCTTCTGGAATGCAGTAATACTATTTGCTGTAGTACTATGTCTTGTATGCATATAAGAATACATTATAACTTAGGGTTCTTATTTAGTATTCTTTTATTCATCAGTCTATCCACAAAACTATTTTCAAGCATGTATGTCTCTTTTTTCCCCCCAATTTAAATCCTATTTTAATTCTCATGATACTCAAAATAGAGACTTTTTAATTTAGGAGATTATTTCAAAGTATATAAGTTCTACCATAAACAGTGTGTCATTAGAAAACAAAATCATGATTGTTTGATTATCATATATTTTATTAATATGAATTTTACAAATAAATTAATTGAGAATTAATTATAGTCTATAACATCAATCAGACATTGGGGCCAACTAGTGAGGTTTAAGCACAAACTGTGCTGCTTTCGGCCTGTGTAATGTTGTGAAGATCCCTTTATCTTGCTGAACTTCAGTTTTGGCATGAACAAAGCAATGCAAATCGTAATACTGCCATGGAATTCTTGTGTGGGTGGATTTAGTATATTTCAAGGCATATGCTAAACAGTGATGCTTGAGAACATAATTAGTTTGTCTCTAGAGGACCATTGATTCTGGAGGGAGCATCTACTTAGTTCACTTTCATGATGTCTTCTATGCTGTTCTTCTGCATTTCGTGATACAATGAAACGGATTTTTATAAAGTCAAAGCATGAAGCCAATGCTGAAGGATAGACCTTTATACTCTCTGATCCTGAGAGGACATGTCTTCTACCCTTTTTAAAAATTTATTTATTTTTTAATTAATTACAGTTTATTCACTTTGTATCCCAGCTGTAGACTCCTCCCTAATTCCCTTCCCAAACCACTCTCTCCCTTCCTCATCTCCTCCCATGTCCTTCTCCAAGTCCACGGATAGGGGAGGTCCTCCTCCCCTTCTACCTGACCCTAGCCTATCAGGTCTCATCAGGACTGGCTACATTGTCTTCTTCTGTGGCCTGGTAAGGCTGTGTTCCCCTTCGGGGGGGGGGGACAAAGAGCTGGACACTGAGCCC